TCCCTTTCGTTCTTAGAATTTGAGTCCTGATTATCATTTATCCGTTCTTTTTCTTGCTCAGCAGTTGCTTTGTTTTTTTTACTAATATTTTCTGTAGAATCTTCAACGTTTTTGACTCTAGAATCGTTAATTCTCTTGTTCCTCAGTTTCCTAATTTTTTTCTTTGATATATTCTTCAAATCCTCTTCTAACTTTTTTTTGCCCTCCATGAACTTAATAATTTCATCACTTAATTCTTGTAATTTAGGAGGTTTATAAGAATTTGTTTGACAATTTTCACTTAAGTGATTTAATAATATTTCTCGTGATTTTTTTCTTGCTTTTTTGTTTAATTCTATTTCTTTTTCTCTTTTGATTCTGTCCTCTTTGCTTTCTTCATCGGCGGTAGTGCCAATGGGAGCAATAACTATCGGAGGATTATTTACATGAATAACTCTTTTTTCACAAGACTTAATTATTTCGGCTAATTCACCACCTACTTTAATCATCGACTCAATATCTTCTTCACGCTTCTTGGTTTTTTTAAAATCTTTAAAACGAGTGCGAATTATTGTAGTATTTTTGGTAATCTCTTGATCAAAAATAACCGCTCTTAGCAAATTATAAGTAGCCATTTCATGTTGGGCAAATCTACCATCAGTAACAAAGAATACTCGACTTACTCCATCTCTAACTAAATAAACCGCTTCGGCAATGGTGTCTAATATTTTTTCGGTAGGCAACTTAGTATCGCCAATGCCTGGATTATCGATGATAAGATAATCAAAATTATCATTTTTGAATTTCTCAGTTTGGATTTCTTTGGTCTCGCTTACTCCTAACTTACCCTCTTTGAAATCATTGGTATTAGTAATTACATTGGCCAAGGTAGATTTACCTCGGCCTGTTCTTCCAATAAGAAGAATAGTTTTAGTTTCTGTCATGTTTTATTCTATTTATTTTGTGTATTTTGTTCTATTACAGCAGTAAGGTTACTAATTGCTGGTAACGCTTTCTCCAGTTTAATCTTTATTTCGGCAATTGCTTTATTTTTGACTTCTTCCAATTCTCCTTGCTTTGTTAGGCTATTACTCTGCTTTATTTCTTCTTCTTTTTTAAGGTAATTGGTTACTATGGAATATATATTGTCTCATTCTCCTAATTTATAAACACCATGGCAATTTTCGGCTAGATGGTTTAGGACTTTTTTTCGTGACTCTTTTCTCCTTTCCTTGCTTATGCTAATTTCTTCTTCATTGTCACTATCATCCTCGTCTACTTCAGGCACTGCCGGATTATCAACATGTATAATACCATTACATGACTCAATTATCTCTCTGATTACAGCACTTTCGTTAAGAAGTGCTTTTTGATCTTTTTTACATTCCTGTGAATTTCTGAAATCTTCAAAATGAGAGTGAACCAAAGTGGTAAATTTAGTAATGCCGCTTTCTAAAATAAGTTTTTCAAATAACTTAAAGTTTTTTATCTGTTCCGGGGAAAATTTACCTCTGAAAACAAAAAAAACTTGATCTATTCCTTCTTTGGCGGCGTAAATACTTTTGCCTATTTCATATAAGATAACTTCTTCGGACAGTTTCCTTCTATTGTCATCAAAACCAATATTATCAATTACATAATAATTTGTTTCTTTTCACTTAAAATTACTTATTTTGCAACTTCTAGTTTCACTAGTGCCGCCTGCACTTTCTTTACAGATTTCCTCACCAGCTAAAACATTAGCCAAAGTAGATTTGCCATGGCCAGTTATTCCTATTATTAAGACATTTCGTGGGTTTACCATATTGTTATTAATTTGTCGTGCTATTTATTTCTCGAATAATTGTTATAAAGATTAAAATAAAAGTCTTGTTAGATAAGGGGAACAAACTCCCCTTTCTTATTTAGGAGGAATTTCAATTTGAGTTTGCTGCTGTTTCTGTTTTTGCTCCAATTTCAATTTGCTAATTTCTTCCTCCAGTTTTGTTATTTCCTGTTCCATTCTCTCAATTCCCTCCTCATTCTTCTTTTCTACATAAAGATCGAAAATTTTTGTTTTTCTTTCTAATTCTCTTTCCTTTCTCGCAATAACTTCTTCATAGTCAGTAGGAGTAATGGTTAATTGTTGTGAGAAATCACTTATTAAATTGTCCACTGGCTCACTAACTTGCACTTCTGGACTAGCAAACTTCTCGGTTCAAATTTGATTACTCCATTCACAGATATTAATCGCTACTTGCTTAATTCCATTTACCGGAACTTCTTCTGTTACTCATTTGTCACCTGCTATGATGAAGTAAACTTTTTCGCAGTAAGTGTTCTTCATATTTACAAAACCTATCGTGTGCGCACTTGGCGAAGGAGCAGTAATAGCGGGACTCACGGATATGCCACCACTAAAAGCATTTCCAATATTGGCTATGCTATTACACACCATAGCATTCATGTGAACCATCATATCCATTTGCTGGGCTTGATTTATCATTTCATCAATCTTTACTCCAGGGTCAATTAATACTCCTTTAACTTCCACAGTGTATTTATCTATATAATCATGGAGTTCGCAAACTCCTGCCCTGCTTTTGTATCTGGCATTAGCAGTGTTTCTACTAAACCAGGTTTTGGTAGCATTTCTTCTTAGAAAATTTTTAAAATTATCTTCTCTAAAAAAATATGCCTGTTTTTTTCTCGTATACTTTCCTTCATTAAAAGTGAATGATTCGAAATTTTTTAATGCTTCTTCGACGGATTTTACTTTGCTTTCTGGTCTTCCCTCGCTCGAACAGTAGACTTCTTCTGGCAGATATCGCAAATCACCTGCAATGTCAGTATTACTAATATACAATTTTTTTAATTTAGTTAAATCTTTTAAACTCTCTAAGGAACCAACAAAACTGTTGTAATCACCGGTTTTGATTCTTTCATAATCATTTCCTATGAATAGCGTTTCTAAATTAAATAATTTTATTTTGCTGAAAACGGACAGATCTTCAGAAAATTTATTATTGGCCATGTTCAAAAAAGTTAATGAGGAACTTAAATTAAAACCAGTTAGAAAATTATCACAGCAAGACAAGCCTTCTAATTTTCCTAAATTAGTTATTTCTAAACTAGTCAGTTTATTGTAATAACAATTAAGAATTTTCAAATTTTGGCACTCGTTCAAGTCTAAATTAGTCAGTTGGTTATTATTACAGTCGAGCCTTTCTAATCCAGAGCAAT